TTTTCTGTTTCATCAGTAACTAAATAGCAGTTTATATTCATTAGGTGGTCTGACATCGTGTTCTTAATACTGAAATTTGGAGAGCTCTTTTCACCTGTACTGTTAGAATAAGAAGAAAACAGACTTCTTTGCTGGTTTTCTATCACAGATGATTGTTGGTCAGTGTTGGGATAATGAAGTAATTTAATTCTGGACACTGATTGAAATCCTAATTCAGATGCTGGAATCCTTTTCTGCTCAGGTTGTCTTCTAAGGATCTGTTGGCTAATGAGATTCATCTCACTAACGTGCTGAGATAAGCGTGCTGCTGCTTACAAGTGCTTTCCTTTCTGCCTTGAGTCACTTGGTATGTAGCAGGAAGAAGGAGTTAGCCTTTAGTCTCTGCTAGCAAATCTGAGACACTTGAAACAGAGTCAAAGGCCCTTTACTGACTTGCTCTATATAAGAAAGGTGTCTCCAACACCTCTTGAAAGGAGTAAGAGGAAGGCCAAAATCACATGCCCAAAGCTTTGTTCTTAAAGGAATTCTTTGTAGAAAGTTTGTATGATGGAACACCCCAATGTGTACTATTCCCTTTGCATATGGCTCTCTTTCCAGAAGCAGCTCCCATGACGTATTTGAAGAGTAAATATGTGTTCTGCTATTGAGACTCTCTGCAGAGTAGTGCAATGTTCATCAGGAGTAGGAGTGGACAGCTGGTCCACATAATCTGAATTCTGCACAGCACCAGTGCCCCAGAGTTGTAGATATTTTGTTGATGCATGCGAGACAGCAGCTTTTTTGGCGATGTGTTTGTTAATCCCCTTGCTTATCTACTATTCTGCTGCTCATTGCATCCATTGTAAAAGCAGAAAGCTTCTGTTCTCACATGGAGCCTTTCTTTTGCGCTGAGAGTAGGTCTTGGGTTCTTTAAGCCAGCTGTTTAGATGGCTGCAAGTTAGAAAGTGTTTTACATATTTTAATTTGTCTTACCTAAATTGTGAGTGAATTGTTATGAATGGACGGAAGTGTGCATAAAATCCCTGTAGAAGACAGAGTCCCAAATATTTTGCATCTGCTGTGAGATGACAGCAAATTTATCTTCTTTTGTTGGATGATTCAAAAGGTCTTCTAGGTAGAATTGTCTACCTCATCACGCTTTCCAATCTTAAATCGGTAACTGTTTAAGCAGGGTCTCTAATGGGGCTGTCACAGGTTGCAGATCGAAGAAGCTAAAGAATATCCTTAGAGCTGCCTAGTCTAAGGCTCTGCAAAATCATTTTTATTTCATGGAGGAGCTACCAGCCTCAGAGCAGAGGCACAACAGGTCAAAAGCACAACTTCTAGGAGATTTTAGTGTAAGTAAACCACTCTTTATCTACTGACAGTGTTTGTTATGTTGCTTAGCTTGCAGTTCTGTCAGTCTCTGGTTAATGTTTCGGTCACATTTCTGCAATGCTATCTAGCACTGCAGAGGTATAGCAGAAGGTTTGGAAAAGCATACATACTGCTCTTTTCTTTCCCCTGCCTTCCATTTTGTTGCATTTTCAAGGAGCTGAAATTGGCAGATCTCAAATTACCTATTTTACTGGAAAGTCTATTTTGTGAAAAGCAAATTTTTTTTTTCTTCTGAAGTTAAGAATAGCATCACAATAGTATCTTCTTATTATGAAAGATGAAATTGAAGAGCTCTGTTACTGATCAGAGGGAGTAGGAAAAGCCTAGTAGTGGAATCCAATAGTGTCTGAGCCTCTGTATTACTCAGAGCAGTTGGCTTAAATCACTCCTGCTAGCTGATAAGTCCCTGTTCAGAAGGAGCTAACTCATTTTGGTTAGATGAAGGTCATGCTTCTGGTTCCTGACATGCAGAAGAGTGATTAAGATGAGAATGAGGCACAAACCACCTCAGAGCCTCGCAGAACAGTGTCCACTTGGGTAAAAAGCAAACCTTAGGCTCTCTTTTATCTCCCAATCCTTAGGCACCTGCAGCAGTGTTTCTGGATCACTACAGCCATTAGAAGGCTATCATAAAGCAAAAAGTCCAGGCAATATCATCATGGGGCATGGGCAGTGTTTTGCTCTGCTTGAAGGAATTCCCAACTGGGATACGGAGATGTCGTGTACGTAGTTAGACTTTGGGAGAATCTCCAGAGGTAGGAAGGCATATGGAAGAACCTGTGTAAATATTGTCCAGTCCATTATTATTTTCAAGAAATAGTATTTTGTCTTCCAGAGATGTGTAAGGAAGAATTGATAAAGCAGTCTGACTGTCAGAAGACCCGTTTCTCCTCCCACTCCAACCCAGCTTCCATCCTTATCTGTCTACCCAGGTTCTCAGTAAATGTCTTAGTCATAGCTAAGTGGCTGCAGCCTGGGGAGAAAGGTAGCAAAAGAGGAAATGCTCTCCATAAAGAAAGGCATGTTGGAATGAACTGCTGATGGCAAATTCTTTCTAAAACACCCTGGCTGTAGCAGAAACAAATATTACATTGGCAATACCATGATGTTTGTGTTCACACACCAGCTGCTACTCTTTCCCACGGGGTCTTGTTTTTTAAAAGGCTGGCAAAGGACACTTTTGTTAAGCTACAGATCTAGTCTTGCTTCTTGTATTGGCTCTGTTGCATTTTCCTTTGAGACTTTGAATTTTTCTTTCGTTTTTTGTAGTGTATATATTACCATGGATTTTCCTTCCAGAATATTTTCAACAGGCTGTCAATGAAGTAGTACGCTCTGTAATTTCAAGCAATGTATACTTGTGTTATGGATTATTAGATTATCATTTTGTATGTGTGTTGTTGGTGAGTTTTTTTAACATTATGCACTACTGAGCGCTTGAGTAATTGGCATGCTAAGTTTATGAATGACTCTTAATGAATAAACTTTTCTTACTGAAGCTGAAATAGCAAAGTTATTCCCAGACTAGAAAGGCTGGTAGATTTTTGGCCTGCAATAAATGGAAAGCGTAACATGAAGGGGGGTGGAGGGTGGGAAGAAAAGCACTGTTGAGAGTCGATTTCAAGCAGGAATTGTTGAATCGGTTTTTGTTTGGAAAATGCCTGCAGTACAGAGAACAATTTGGTGTCATGACTTCCTGCAATTAAACACTTTCGAATTTTCTTAAGTATTTATTTCAAGAATACTTGACTTGATATTGCATACCTTTGATATTCAAAGAGGGCTTCATCTTGCATACTTTTTATATGCAATATGTCATAATCAAATGTACACTATATGTATATAAGTATGCATATATATTATTTATAACAGTGTAAACATTTACATTAGAACCTGAATGTACTGTTTTACTGAGATTTTGAATGTCTGAGACTTTAACTGATGAGCTGAGAACCTGTAGGTCCTCAGATGTGTAGTGTGATGCATAACAGTGTGCATCATAAAACAGGATTGGCAAGACAAATGCGTACCAATTCATTTGTGCAGGCAGTTCAGGGAGATATGGCTTTAATATTACAGCCATAGGAAACTCAAGCCTGGAAATGCACTCTTTTTTTCTCTCCCCTTCCTCCCCCTTTTGTCTTCTAGCTTTTCTGAAGACCATTCCTGAGTACTTGTGCTATGTAACCTTGCTTTTCGTATCTGTTTCAATGTTGTATGTTAGTCAAGAGTTTCCATTGTACATACATACACATCTTTTTATTTCACCCCACTGTGTTTTGTAGTGCTGCTTATATGCTTATGACTAAATAACACAGGAAAGAATGGCTCTGAAATACTAAGTGTTGCACATTGCTTTTCAGATATTCCCAATAATGATAAGTGATACGAGAAGGTTTAAGTGAATAATAAGAAAGTATGAGTGAATATACCTTCAGCTATTTCCAGAACTTCTTTCTTGGTTTAACAGACAAATTTTGTTAAGACATCCTGTCTTTGACTTCCTATGGAATTACAAGAGAAGTAGAGATATCCTGATTTTTGTGTTTGGAAACACTTTGGTGCTCTTAAAGAAAGGGAGTGCTAACTAGAAAGCTCTGTCCAGTGTCAGCAGGAATGTTAGTGTTGTTTATAAAATAAGAAGTATTACTCCAGTGATATGCATACAAATAATGTCTGTAAGATGAGACAATGAAAAAAAGTCAGAAATGTAGAAGCAAGAGTCGTGTAACTGAAATGAAATCTAAGACTGAATAGTTCAGATCATGAAAGGTGTTTTTTCTTTCAGTTGCATGTATCTGGCACTTATCACTTGCTATACAGCAGGCTGCACCATTCATGCAGATGGGAAGAGTTTTCTTCCTTAGAGTATTTTCCCTTATCTGGTTAATAAAAGCACTGCAAGGAGAGTCAGAGTGGAAGCAATTCTTGAAGGGTAAAACGGCTCCTTCTGCTACCTTGCTCCTTAAGTGAGTAATGGAATGCATCTAAAACAAAGTCAAAATACAGCTACTCAGTGATAGATATAATTGCAAAAAAACCCCTCCCATTGACCCCTCTTGCTTTTGATTAGATTCCACAAGTGAAGTGATCAAAAACAACAAGAAAGAAAAACAAAGTTGAAGTTATTATTTCTTTGCTTTCAGTGAATGTAGGCAAGCTGGGGCAATAGGGTGGGTTCTGCTTGGAAGGAAAGCCCAATATCTCAAGATAACAGAGCTGAGGAGAGAAAGCATCCCATGGAACTCATCTGAACCTGCAATCTTAGAATGGGGAGGGGGTGAAGCGGGGATATTTACCCGGGCAAATTCAAGTGCAGCATTCCCATCCACCACTAGTTGTCACTTTGCAACCAGCCGGGGGTTGGTGTTTTCAGCACTGCGGTTAGCGAGATTGCAGTGCTAATTAAACAGAGAAACTCTCAAAGCTACAGAAAGTCCCAAACCCGAGGAGGTAGTATAGCTGATCTCGGGGAACAGAGAGGAGGGGAAAAAGCAGCTCGAGAATGGCGTAACGCTTCTTTCTTAAGGCCGAGACCGTGCCGGGTCTGTGCCCCAATCTCAAGATGGGCACGGAAGTCCAGCCCTGTGTGCACACACTCCTCCCGCAAAGCCGAGCCTTACCTGAAGAAAACGATCGTCTCCCACACGTAGACTCCGAGCACGTTGACGTTGCACATTTTTCCAGCTCTCGCTGTGGTGTTTATTTTGTACTCCGCGAGGGGTGGGCCGGTGGGGTTGGCCAATAAAGTAGCCCGGCACTTGGGGAGAATTGGTGAGGGAAGCGAGCCACCCCTCCCGAGACGGGCTGAGCCGGTGGCAAGGCCGGGCGGCTCCCTCAGCACCCCGGACAGCAGCAGAGAGGGCGGCCACGCTCAGCACCGCGGACAGCGCTCGGCGGGAGCGCGGCTCAGCACCCTGGACAGCGGCGGTGATCGGCGCTCCGCGGCTGCCTGCGGATCTGCCGGGGGCTCCGCTCCGCTCCGGCGCTGCCTTGGCTTGGCTTGGCCCGCCTCTCCGCTGTGCCCCGCCACTGCAGTGCTGCTCGGGGCCGGAGGAACAGGCTTCCAGAACTGAGATCTCCCTTCAGCGGGATCCCGCTCCGGACATCAGGCTGGCGAGTGGGAGAGATGCAGGGGGTGTAGATTTGCCATAGGGATGGTGGGGTTGGATGGGAGGGGGCGATCCTCAACAACCCGGGGCTTTAATCTCTGCTGCTTGCCAGGGTGTCTTCCTAATTACATCCAGAGGAATTTGTCAGTGTGAAGCTGTGCTGCAGTCCCGGTTGTGTCGCTTTCCTGCTCACCGTTTGGCTGCTGTTGATTCCAGCTTCCTGGGTTATTTTCCTCCCGAATAAGTTACTGCTGCTGTAGGGAAGATGTCCCATTGCTCAGGGCCAGAGTGGAGGGGAGTGAAGGGGAAGTTTCTTGGGAAGCACTCCCATTGCGTTCGGGAAGGAAGTGGCTCAGTGTCCTCCTAATGCATTTCATTTCCCCTCTGCCCTCTCTCCCCTTCTAGGGCTTGCCAGATCTTGGGAGTTTCTTGCTGCATTAATTTACTAAACTAAAAAAAAAAAAAAAAAAAAAAAAAAAAAAAAGGGGGTGGTGGTGGAAAAGAGGCAAAGCAGAAAGGAGGGGGTAACTCAGCCTCTCCACCATCCAAAGGCCCTCCTCTTAGCTGTGCTCATTGGTCTCAGGGTTGAAAAAACTACTCTAGGATGTGGTTGGATAAACGCATGTTGTTCAGCAGAGGATGTTAACCTTTAAAGCGCTGATACGTTTTGTTTTATTTCCATTTTTTTAACTCAAATCACTGTCTTTTTAAGAAGTCTCTGAAATCATCTCCCTTGACATGGCAAGCGTAACGTGCCTTAAGTCTCCATCTCGTGGAAGATTTACTTGAGTTGCAGTTGCTATGTGTTGCTGTTGGTTTTTAAGGATCATCTCTGTTGCTTTTCTTCTTCCTGCTGTATTTTTTTTTTTTTTTTTTTGGTCTTTTTTGTCTTTTTTTCCTTCTCGCATGAGGTTTCTCAAAGAGGTTTGGCAAGCACCAGAGCCATCAAGGCTGGGGCAGGTAAGGAGCATTTAGCAGTTTCATATAAAAGCTCCAGTACCCTGGGCTCCTGCTGTGCTCTCAGGGTGCTGAGTGTGGTTGCTTGGGAGGGAGGAATGGGCTCCTCAGCCATAGTTTAAGTCAGCCACTCTGCTTTGCTTCTCATTAATTTCTGAATATTTAAATAAAAATGTAGCACTCCTACATCGCATAGGATATATTTTTCCCTTCTGTTTTATCCCATTGTAAGGGGATTTTTCTTCTTTAAGTCCTACTTTGTTGACTTGTCCTGTGCTTCGTAAAATTCCTTGTGGAAAAGAAAGAGTCACTTTTAACACTTTTTTAGCTGTTTTTCTTTATTTCCAATGTGTTCAAAGAATCTTTCCATCCTGGAGGTGGGGTGGGGATGTGTGAAACGGACAGCTTGCTTCACCAGTACTGTAACCCCCAGGCTAGGAATTACCCAAGTCTTTCTCCTCACATTTGGTTTTATCACAATGGACATTATTCAGTGCCAAAATTAACCTGATGTTTTTGATCTCCAGTTGCTATTTGTTTCCAATTAGTATGTTTGTATAGCCAAACAGACAAAAATATCCCCTGGGTTGTCATTCAAAAGAAAGGGGGAAGAAATTAATATGCTTGGCTCCTATCTATTGAAGAGAAGGAGTTTAATCTGATTTACTCCAGCTACTGGGTCTCAGTGTCTACTTAGATTAATAACAGGCTCTGATTTCAGTCCATGGTTACTCCTGGGGATGTGGTTCTGTGCAGGAGCATTCTCCCTGCTGCTTGCTGGCTTCTTGCTGTACTTTCTTTACTGATATTTATCCCCACATGGGCAAAATTCTTGTCACTGTTCTTTTCCAGCCCCCACTGTGTTGACAGTCGAGAGGAGGAGCTCCAAACAGGGAACACTAATAGGACCCACGGATTACAAGGGAAATGGTGTTTCCCTGTGTTTTCTATTGGAAAGCAGGACCAAGGGCAGAAGGCAAAAACATCTCTTGGCAGCTGTGCCTTAAATCTTGAGGCTAATCAGACCTCTGCTTCCCTTAGAAATCAGCTCTGTGAAAGATATGACCAGATTGTGGGATTTCTCCTTTGGTTGCAAATATCGTCTTTATAACAAAGGAATTCAGACTTGCCTTCTTTTCTCCCAACCACCTGCTCTCCTTGCACTGCCCTGGGTTAGGGAGTAGAGTGGCTATGCACAAGATTGAGAAAGCAGATGTCTGTGTGTGTAACACAACGATGCCTCACAGCTGTTCCTGCTGAAGGCAGCAAAATTCCTTTTTTTTTTTTTTTTTTTTTTTCCTTTTTTTTTTTTTTTTTTCTTTTTTTTTCTTTTGTTTTGCCAGGGGAAGAATTTACCTGCTTTGCAGCCCTCTGTCCTGCTGATGTTAGTTGGCAGACTGGAGAGATTTGTTTAGGTCTGGGGACTCTTCTGCTGGTCCTTGAACATTCCTTGTTACTGAAGAGAAAGAAAAGAATTTGCTTTTTCTGATATTTGGGGAAACTAAGGCAAAAAAAAAAAAAAAAGTTACAACATGTTTTGAAGCATGTCTAGGCATTCGGACAATTTAGATCAGGTAAGAAAATCAAGAGATGTGAATTTAAGAGATGTGAATTTTGTATGTCTTCTCATGGAGGCCCCATATGTACCTGCACTTCCCATATTACATGTTTTGCTGTTATCCAGAGTCTCTTCTGTTTTATTTTTAATTTATTTTTTTATTTTGACTAATGTCTGCCTCTGCATTATATACCCTTCTATGTCCTCCTGGTGCCAAGGCAGTTGTTACTTGCTTGTCTTGGTACAGTGCCCTGTATTTGCTACTTATGTATGTGGTTAGGGCTGGCTCCTGTTCCTTGGAGTTCCCATTCTCTGGCTTAATCCAGCTGATTCAAGAAACAGGCAACTGACCCCTGCTGAAACCCTTCTACGAGGATCCTCATGCTACTGGTTGGCAAGACATTTCTCCCTGCTTTGTTCGTAGGCTGGGTTTTAGCTCTGTGCTTGATTTTGCTGAGTTTTTGTGATGTTTAGGAGGACTTACTTGCCAGATCTCTTATTTTTCAAGTTGAGTCCAAATGGTTTTGAAAGGCATTTATGAAATGACTTTCCTTTGTGTAACTCATTCAAGCAGGATAAAAGTTAACCCATAATAATCTCAGTGAGGCTTTCAAAACCAGGATTACCTGCTGCGTGCTCACTTTGCTGCATTTTGAAATAAACCAATAAAAACAATAACAATCCTGTAGAACTCATTCTGGATAAAGTTGTCCAGGAAACTTCTGTGTCCTCATCTTTCTGGTCTGTGACTGGTGGATAATTTTTCATCAGAAGATGCTATTAAACATTGCAGCTGCTGACAGTAGAGTGTCACCTTTGCAGTAAGCAACTGATGGGACTTTGTTCTCTGCAGTTCTAGGCTTACCTCAATAAAAATGAAGCTGCTTGTGTTGCATGGTTGGGATTGTAGATGCTTGTTCTACAACAGAAATCTTAACTGTTTTATCATCAGTCTTGTTACTGTCTTCACTACAGGTGAATTTGATTGTTATCCTTCCTTCTGGTGATTCAAACATTTCAGTTGGTACTGATGAATGAGGCCTCTGTAGTCCATCCAGTTCATCTGATGGTTTTTCTGTTTTTCTTTGTGCTTTCATTAGTGCTTAGGGATAACTGGCTTCTAATGCTTGTTTCCTATAAGAGATACTAATCTTCAGTGTTACGTTTGGCTGTTCTACGAATGGTGATAGCAAGGAGCAGGATATGACTGTAATCGAGACTGAGCCATATTAGCAGTGCAATGAATGGCAGCTGTTGAGGGAAATGGAAACAGGAACATGGCAAAGAATTTGTGAAATCACTCTTCTGCCTTCTCTTGTTACTTCAACTCATCCCTTTCATCAGTCTAGGCCAGGGGGACTAGATCAGTCTTATAAGGCAATTGTACCTTATTAAGAAAACATCTCCCGGCCTATTTTCTCTCCCAAAAGCTCAGTTGCTGCATCTGAAGCTTTCGGAATTTTATTTGTTAGAATGAGGCTTGAAATGAATAAAAATCACTGCATTTTTATTTGCAATATATTAATTACAGATGAAAGGTTGAATCTGATCTGGAATGGAGTGGCTGCAACGCACACACGTAGCTGTAAGCCTGTTTCAGTATCTCTCTTCCTGATCCCTTGTGCAGTTGGAGCAGATCAGCCCTTTTTGTTAGGATGCTATGAGGAATGTGCAGAATGCTTTTGACTTGCTAAACTTGTTACTCTGCATGCACACCTGTAGAAAAGAGTGTACATATATTCAGGTGATACATCTGTCAGTAGATCCAAGCTTTTTCGGGCTGGAAACAAACCACTTTCTAAGTGTCTCCTCTTTCTTCATTCTTTCTCTAGTGAGAGTCAGGGAGTACCTGTTCCTCCAGATTCCTTTAGAATCTGTTGTTCTTTCAAATGATTACTCACTGATTCTTTCCCTCTGAAGCATGTCAATGAATCTTTCAATGCTCCTGGAAGTCTGTGAGTTCATTTTGGCTTTGATAGTTGACCCCTGTTATCATTTTAAGAGAAGGGAGAAGCCGTAAGGCTGTGGAAATCCCTCTGTGACTAAATGAAA